TGATCTCTTATAAAAAATTAAGACGTGATATACTTAAATATTTTAACAACGAATATTTGTGAATCTTCGTTTAATGGGTTCTAAAGTAAAAATTTACAAACTTTTAAACTAGGACTTTAAATCTATAATTAGGAATGAGTTTTCTTCCATTCTTAAACTTGAGCTGAGGTCTTGCAGTATTATGATGTTTGAACATCTTCACTTTTTTGATGGATTGGCATATTTTCCGTATTGAAAATAAACAAGATTCAGTAACTTGCTGGAGAAAGAAGGGGGGGTCGGAAGGGGGAAGGGGGGAAGGGGGATAAACAAACATGGAAATTTTATGATATCACTAAAAAGCTGAGCTTTTACAGCAGCAGTGGAACGTGAACAAAGAGAAGTATATGAACTAGAAGTAAACAACTTATATAAAACACTTTACAGCCATCTAACTAAATTAAAGTTAGATTTGTAGATAGATAGAAAGATGTAGAAATTGATAGATTAATAGATAGATTGCTAAGCATATGAATAGATAGATAGATCGATAGATGGATAGATAGATAGATAGATAGATAGATAGATAGATAGATAGATAGATAGATAGATAGATAGATAGATAGATAGAGGCTGAAATACAAATAGCAGAAGTAAAGTATGTATCCATATTACAAGAAATCAGACAAAGAAAGAATGAAAATAAAAGATTTGAGAGAAGATAATAAAGATAGAGTTAGGAATGTCAAGAACATAGTTTCTACCTGAAGATAGGTACAGATGTATATATAGATAGATCCATGGACAGATAGATGTATTTATAGATAGATCCATGGACAGATAAATGTATATATAGATAGATCCATGGACAGATAGATGTATATTTAGATAGATCTATGGACAGATAAATGTATATATAGATAGATCCATGGACAGATAGATGTATAGGTGGATAGATCCATGGACAGATAGATGTATATATAGATAGATCCATGGACAGATAGATGTATATATAGATAGATCTATGGACAGATAGATGTATACATAGATAGATCCATGGACAGATAGATGTATATATAGATAGATCCATGGACAGATAGATGTATATATAGATAGATCTATGGACAGATAGATGTATATATAGAAAGATCTATGGACAGATAGATGTTTATATAGATAGATCTATGGACAGATAGATGTATATATAGATAGATCTATGGACAAATAGATGTATATATAGATAGATCCATGGACAGATAGATGTATATATAGATAGATCTATGGACAGATAGATTTATATATAGATAGATCTATGGACGGAAAAATGTATATCTGTATAGTAAAGAAAGATAGTCGAGGTGGTAGAGTTGAGTAGGGGGGTCTACGTTACTGACTACAGCCCACAAACTACATTTTACTGACTACAGCCCACAGACTACACTTTACTGACTACAGCCCACAGACTACACTTTACTGACTAACTGAACACTACGGAATGTACAGACTACAGACTAGTTACAGACTACAGATATAAATGTGTCTGTTTTTTGACAAAATATCCCTTTTTTGCAATATTTATCTTCTTTTGATGTTAATCTCATCAAACACATTTTTAAAACTAATTTAAACCCTTTTTCAGGTGAGGAATTTCTTCAGAAGTTTGGAAGGAAATAGATAGAAACTTTTTCTGTAAATTAGTAGGGATTTGAACCTTGTAAAAACTGCTTAGAAATAATATATCATGAATGATTTTGATAGTAAAAAGAAGTTTAATACAAATGCAACTGAATATTCCTGAATTCCTGAAATATTTTCTACAATTTTAAAATCTGTAATCTGTATTTTTTATCAAAACAGATTTCAAATACAATAATGTTCCAAAAAAAAGCGGAATTAGAGATTGTCTGTGACCTTTGTATGTTTATATCTAATCTAATCTAATCTAAACCCGCTGAGTGAAAATAGAGCAAGTTAAGCTGCATAAAAATAAACTATTCAATTGATTATCAGAGCGGAAGGAGAGCAGCCATAGCAGAGATGTTTTCAGGTTTATCTCCTTAGCAGGTTTAATGTAGACGTCGTAGGAAATATAAACTATACTATACACCTGATGTAAGTTTAAGTTTTATAAAGTATTTATATACTTTTTTATACTTTATAAAATTTTTAAGAATTATATTTAAATTCTGGTTTTCAAAATATATTTAATAAGCTGCTTATGCAAATTGTCAAGAGTTGTGCAAATTATGTTTGCAATTTCTTAGGAACTGTCATTTTTACGTAATAAAACGTAGGGTTGCGTGAATATTTCATCTGTTCAATATAATGCAAGAATAGAACTTACACGATATAGAATACAGGATAAAGGATACAGAATACAGGATAAGGATACAGGAAACAGGATACATAATACAGGAAACATGATACAATTTAAAGGATCTAGGATACAGAATACAAAATAAAAAATACATAATACAGAAATGTAAACAACTTTCGGTTATTACAATCTGTACTATAATAACTAATGTTCTTTTTGACTTCGGAAACTACTTAATCCTCTGCTATATCTAAAATGTGTTTTTATTCATGGAATTAGGGGATTAACAAGAATGGAGGAGGGGGGGGGATTAACTTTAGAGGGGGTATTAAAGAGGCAGGGGAATAATTGATACGACACGTCTAAAGCCTAAGCATCAAAGAGGTTCCGGAATCTTGAAATCCCGGAATGCGGGAAAAAATTTTGCTTTTCAGCTCTAATCATTGAATATATACACTTGCACAGTGCACAGTACACTTAGAACAAAGACCTTGTTGGTGTTCTTCTTCCCATCTTTGTAATGCAAAAGTAAAAGATAAAAGAAGAAGGGGGGGGGGGGTAATTGTACACTACTGGGCTGTCAGGGCGCCCATCTTCTATTTCAAATTTTAATTGGTTATTAATCTATCAGCATTTTCTCTTCGATAATACATTGTAAGAATTTCGCGGATTTACAATTTTTGGTGGTTTTCAAAACTTCAAGAAAACCAAAAGTTGTTGGAGACAAATTTTCAAAGCTCTGAATATTCATAAACCTTTAAAGGGGTCATGTGAGGTCCTACACAAAATTTGGGCCATATCGGTTCAGCCGTTTTGACGTTTATTGGATACAAACAAACAAACAAACAAACGTTTGACAGTCAAGCTAAATTTATATATAGATACTAGCCTAATAGGGCGCTTCGCGCCCATCTTCTAAATTTATTGTGAACATGTTCTCTTTGCGTACATCGTAAAACAAAACAAAAATAATTCGCGGATTTTCACAAAAAATTTCGCGGATTTTCAAAATTTTCAAAAATTTAATGAAGATCGAATTTTGATGGAGACAAATATTTGAAATTTTGATCATTAAACCTACCCTGCGGTCACGTGATGTCCCACAAAAAATTTGGGCCCGATCGGTTCCGCCGTTTTGACGTTTATTGGATACAAACAAACAAACAAACACCAAGACAAGCCAAATTTATATATAGATATGAAAATTTCATATACATAGTTGACAATATAAATATCACGAAAAATAATAATAAATAGATAAGTAAGATAAGAATTATATTAACGAATTAAAATTCGAAATATTCTAGACTGCAATTCGTTTACTCTTTTCTATTATCTTTTTTTCCATTAAAAACTCAAATCATATAGAATAAAGAAATATGCTGCTTAATTATTTTTGTTTTTGTTCAATAAAAATGTCAGGTTTTTTTAGACAAATCTGATTTTGACTATTTTAACCAACGAGGTTATAGTATATAGAGTGATGATGTTCGCTAATCCTTTACTAATTGTACAGGCCATGTACTTCACGTCCAAAGGTCAATCTGTTTATTACAGTTCTCGGGGGTGATTTTGAAAATATTTTGTTAGGGGAATTTGTTTTCCATTGAAATTCACTACACCTTTGTCTTGTGCAGGATTGCATTTTCACAGGAAGACGTGATATTACAGTCTTTTACAGAGCAACAAAGCATGATATATTACAAATAAGCAATCACAATTTACTATTCAGTTTGGACCCGCCTAACCTGGGTTGGTTGTTTTGAGTGGTTTCATCGTTAATAAACGGTTCTGAGAAAACCGAGTAAAATTTAAGATAAAAAACCTCCCCATACACTTTTACTCCGAAAGCTTAATGCATATTTGATGTTTGTCCTGTATTATAAGGCCATAATCTCTTAATATCCTTTATCAGTAAACTATACTAATTGTACACTCAGGCTAATACACACGGAGAGGTAGGTAAGATTCAGCCTCACTGCTTTTAACCTGGCGTAAGTGAAACTAAATAGGATAAATTTAACACTTTTTTACAGGTTTTATAAAAACATACTCCGACTGTTTTTTTATCAATCAGGAATTCTTTTGTTAGCCAATATTTAAAAAATAGTTTAAGTTAAAAGAAATTTGTTAAGGGAGCATGAAAAATTCTGACCAGCTCAGTCAAGGTTCAAAAATTAAACATTTCAATATGCATGCCAGTTACTTTAGAATCTTAACAACAAAATTTTAATGATAGAAAAACAGTATAACGTTAACATTTATATTTTTATAATCAAACAAAACATTTTCTTCACTCTCTGGTAATGGAATGTTGCAGATATTTAGTTTTTGATTAAATGATTATATGGAGCTCTTTAAAACTGTTCCCGCATATTAATGACTATTTAGTTATCGCAAATACTGAGATTTACGTAAATTAGTAAAAAGCCCATTGAAAAATTACCAAGACGACATTTAATAAATTATTTCGATCCATGGCTTATTTAGGGTTTAACTGTAGTTAACACCATTTAAAAGTATGTTAATCAGTTTAGTGGATTAGTTATAATAAAAACTTTATTTAAATTATAATAATGGATCAGATTCTGAAGTTTCGAGCTTCTATTTTGTTCAGTTTTTGCTTGAGTTTTCTTGTATTTTTTTTTTGGGGGGGGGGGCGTTTCTGTGCAAACTTTCTCCTTATGGTGGCCCGTACCTTCATCTATTTCTTTTTCAGATTCTTTCTTTGAAATAAAGATTTATTGCTTCTTTTCATTTGCTTTCCTTTCTTGTACTTTCTACTTTTCATTTGCTTTAATTTTGGTATCCCTTTTTGTAACTTCTTCATTTGTTTCTTGTACTTGTTTAGTCGTCTTTTCCTTTGTCCTCTGTAAAGACCTTTACGTCTTCGAAAAGGCAATGTAACTGTACCCTTGCAAGCAGCGTTCATATCTCCACAATCATCTCCTGTTTCCTTGATATTTGTTTCTGTTTCATCAACCTGAACACCATTTTCGGCTGTTTCATTGCTTTGAACATTGTCAGTTAAGAAGCTTGTAAATTCATTTCCAGAGCCTTCAAAATCTGATATTTCAGTTCCAGAGCCGTCAATCTCTTCTGTGCTATCGTCATGAGGAAGAAAATAATCTATGATTGAATTGATTGCATCGTCGGAAGGTTCATTGTTTTCTTCTGTCATGTATTCAAAGAAGTCTTGAAGGTTTTCGTCTGTCTCTGTCTGTTCATCAAAAATAAGATCTATAATATGTTGAAGTAAATGATCTGGATCGTGCATTTCATCATTATCCGTAGAAGGAAAAGATATGTCTTCCGGTGCGATAGATTCATCTTCTAAAGCATTGAGTTCATCATCATCAGCCTGGTATTCATCAAAGTTGTCTTCTTGATTATTATCTTCAAAACATTCTTCCTGAGATAGATTTTCAGGATCCGTATATTCATTTTCAACATTCTCATAGAGATAATCCTCTGGATATATCTCCTGAGTTAAAACCAAGGTTCCAAGTTCTCGAGGTATAATCCTAGGCTGGGAGATTATAAACCCAGCTTGGGAGACGAGAAACATCAACTTTACAATCATCCTATCAGGATCTGATGAGGAAGAGTATTTATGGGTTTCTTTATAATGATTCAAGTAATGAAAACTAACTGATCTCCTAGGCTTGACATGACTTTATTTATGCTTATATTTTAAAAATTCTGATTGCAAAGGTCACATTCACATATGTTCCATTTATGTATACTACTAGTATAGAGAGTGCACGGGAAATCTGAAAAATTATTCGCCCGAAACAAAAACAACGATCATAGACTAACTGTAGAAGGGGGAAATCATTTTCCTCTTTTCCTTTGTGTCGTCTAACAGAGTCTGCGTAATATTATCTTACTCCATTTTATTCCAAATAAAAATAAATCAGCAGAATCTTAACAAAATAAATAGAAATAAATAGAAATATAGGGTACCGGGAAAATGTAGGGTACCAGGAAAATGTAGGGTTCCAGGAAAATGTAGGGTAGATGAGAATAAGACCCAACATTGAGCCTTATTCTCCACTAAAACCAACCAAGGTCGGTTTTATTTTCATTGGGCCTAACTCCTTAAGTCGAGCCTAAGATCTCGCAGCTGTCAATCACGTGACACAAGCTCCACAAGCTGTCGTCAGAGTTGGGTCTAAGATTGGGTCTTAAAGCTGCGTTTAAGGAATTAAGACTCGAGCCGAAGCTTTTAAATCGCAGGCTCAGGATCCGTTTATTCATTTTCAACATACTCATAGAGATAATCCTCTGGATATATCTCCTGAGTTAAAACCAAGGTTCCAAGTTCTCCAGGTATAATCCTAGGCTGGGAGATTATAAACCCAGCTTGGGAGACGAGAAACATCAACTTTATTATCATCCTATCAGGATCTGATGAGGAAAAGTATTTATGGATAATGATTCTGATGATGAAAACTAACTGATAACTAACGATATGCATGCCGTATTTATGCTTATATTTTAAAAATTCTAACTTTTTAAAAAGGGTATCATTTCTTTAGTATCCCTAGTGTTATTATATAAGAAAACTATAGTGCTTTGAAATAAAATGAGAAGAAATCTGACAAAAAAATAAAAATATCAAATGCCAAATTATACAGCACAAACGCAGTACGTTTTAATTAGGTCTACAAGCTAGAAATGTAAACAAATCAGAGAAAAATCATAACAACGGATCGTACTGCATTGTTCATCTCAAGGCTGGTTAAATGTCGACAACAAAGAGAAAACAAAGAGGAGACAATCAGAGATAAGGGAAGAGAAGAAAAGAGATAAGAGAACAGAAGAGTAGAGAAGAGAAGAAAAGAAAACAGAAGAAAAAAGAGAAGAAAAAAAGAAAACAGAAGAGAAGGAAAAAAGATATGAAAAAATAGAAGAAAAAAGAAGAAAAGAGAAGAGAAAAAAAAGAAAAGAAGAAAGGAGAAGAGAAGAAAATAGAAGAGAAGAGAAGAAAAAAGAAAAGAAGAAAGGAGAAGAGAAGAAAATAGAAGAGAATAGTACAAAATAGAAGAGAAGAGAAAGAAGAAAAAAATAGATTGCGTGAAAGAGAGAGCTTACATTTTACAGACGTTTTATCAGGAAATTATGTTTAAGAATACTTTCACCTTTAAAATTAACTTTGTTGTAAAATTGTATGATATTTTTGAAAAAAATAGTTGTCCTAACTGTTTAGCGTACATTTTTTGATCATTTGGCATTTGATATTCTGATATTTTTGCGAAATCTGTTTTAGATGCCGGATGTAAAAGTAACTTTGTTGTGTAGTACGTTATTTCCCTAATTTCCCTTATTTCCGGATTTTAATACATACATTAGAATATATATCATACTTGATAAACGATTTAAATTATTCTCCGATTAGAATGTATCTATTTACCAAACTGAGGAATGAGGTTGCTTTAGCGATCAAAAATATATTTTTAAAGGATGTAGAATTTGAAAGGAGGAATTATGTATTTATAATGTTAATTTTATTTCCTTATCAACAATAATTATAGTTTTAACTTTTTGTTATTGTTATTTGACATATTTGACATTTGCTGTGAGTTATAATTTACGACGACCTTTCTTAACGTTGTTAACTTTCAGGTTCAGGAGAATTCACTTTTACTATTTCAAAGAGATACTGTTTACATATTATTTAGCGTTTGTTTGTAGAACTTTGGAATAGTGCTTAAACTTGTGTATTTATGAACTTTCAGTTACTGGGGATTGAAAAATTAGATATACGTCCACTTTCCCCCATTTTTAATATGCTTTACATATTTGTTGTACGTTGTTAGAACTTTTGAACAGTAATTAAACTCATGTATGCTTAGAAAATACAGGGTCATATTGCATTATTGTTTTCTCGATAAACTTGCGTTTATTACAGTGATAACCAGAAAACTCCGAAATAGGAAGACGACTATTTAGCAATATTACAGTGTATTTGTTGTTGTTACAGATCAAATAGTTTAACTAGACACTTTTAAAATCACTAAATAAGTGAAGTGTCTGTTTACATTGTACAATTGCCGTGTCTCATGCTGATTGGACTACTATATGTAATATTTAGAGTCTAAAAGTCGTCTTCCTATTTCAGAGTTCTCTGTTTATCACTGTACATTATGCAATTTTTTTCTTTGATCAAAGATATTTACCTAAAGGATTTTTTCAAACGAAAACTGTTTTGGTTAATGTGTAATGCCTTTGGTTAGAGTAAAAATTTAGCATAATGTAATTAAAGCAATATTGTCTAGTATACAATTTAAAATACGATCTACATCTCATGGAGTCTTGTGGAGATTCTTAAAAAGTCGGCACAACTTTCTACATTAAAAACGGACTTCAAAACAATGCCATTCAGTAGACTTATAATAAGGCTTATTTAAAAACTAAAATCATGTATAAAGAGGAATATTATTTGAAAGCTCTCAGTTTGCTAACAGATATCAGGTTTGCCAACAAAGGATGAGACGACTTTACAGAAATGAGTTATGTTTAGTGTCAAAGGATCCCTACAGCATGTAGACTTTTTACGTTTCTTGCCAAAATATTACATATATATATATATAAATAGTATATACAATGTATATACTTTATATACATACAACATTTTAAAGCTATTGTCAGCCGGATCGCTTCACGTACGAGGGTGCGAGATCGTCAGGAAACCCGCCGGGCGCAGGGGGCAATTCAAATTATTCTTAAGTAAGACAGAAGAGCAAATTCAACATTCAGAGCCTTACAGTTACAATCATAATGTTTCAAGTAGGCATTAAAGTCTTTCTTTAGCTATAGTTTACAAATGTATTTAATTCATGTATTTTTCGAATGTATCAAATGTATGTATTTCCTAAACGTAGTAATTTTTCATCATAAATGTCAGTTCTATTAAAACCACCATGTCTTTAGGGACTGATGAGGGTATAACAATATTTCAAAATTAATTTCCAAACCCAAATTTATCTATTTGCGAGAATTAAAACCTTTTTTGTCAATATGGAAAATTTACATAAATATATTACATTTCATGAATGTATTTGATGTAATTTCACGTATTATTTCATGAATGTATGTAGTGTATACATTTCAAATATGTATTTCATGAATGAATTTAATGTATACATTTCAGGTATAAATTTCATGAATGTAGTTTATGTTTACATTTCACGTTTATATTTAATTAATGTATTGAATGAATGTATTTTATGTATGTATTTAATGTATGTATTTCGTGAATGTATTTCATGTATGTATTTCATAAATATTAATCAGACGAAAATTAACCCTTCATTACTCTGCATTTTCATGCAGGCCCCCCCCCTTTCTCCTTGCCCTTTCATCGTTAACCCTAACCCTAATTCTAAGTTCATTTACGTACATTCCTAAACGAATTTTATACAAGTTTGTTTCTCTTTTACGTTTTTATCGTATTTTCCCCTGCGCTTTTTTATTTAATGTCACCTAACTATCTATTCCCCACGCAAAGTTTTGCCTTTCTAACCCCCCCCCCTCCCTCTTTATTCCCCTACCCTACCTGCATATACCCCCTACCTTTCTTCCCTGTTCCCTACCCCATGTCATGCTATAGACAGTATATTGTAGATCTCCTCAAATCCGGTAGTTTAGACTTTATAGTTGCACTCTGCACTATGCAGTTCTAATGTTCTATTTATAAACTTCGGCCGTTCGATTTATTTAATACATTAATGTGTTTTATCAAAGCATTCTTATCTTTTGGCAGATTTTGCCTTTATTGCATGAAGTGGTGATATAGTTGATGTTAATTTCTTCTTCTTTTTATCAAATAATTTTATTTTTAGCCGGGTAAAATTTCAGGCTAAAATTTAACACTTTGACCGTTGTCTTGCATGTCGTTATTAGAACCATTCCTTCGAAGGAATCTGTAAATATGCACTAGCAAATTCATGTTTCTCTTTCCAGTGAAACCAGATGTAAAAAAAACACACTTTTAGTTAAAATGGGGAGGTTAAGCGAATCAGTGGAAATAAGTGTTTCTCCAATCTTAAGGTCAGTTATTTATGAAAACCTGTCTGAATTTTTAAAAACATATAAAAAACTGTTTTGTACTTTTCTTCAGTGGAAACCATAAAAAAGTAGAGTGAATGTTGTCTAGAAAAAAGCAAAAGCGAAATTAGCATCATTTTATTTTTATATTGCATTATGTAATTTACCATTGTTTCAGTGTTAACTCTCCTTATCCATTATCCCCTAAACCTAGAACACGAGCACCTCTAGTCCTCCACACATTAACCAATCAGATATCAGCTGAACCAACCCCAAAATCAATCAATCACACTGAATACAGAAAGTCGTCTTCTTTACTGCCTGAAATCCGTCCCATTGCGAAATTACGATGCTGTGATCTTATAAGAGCAATTCAATTAGGTACAAAAAATCCTTTGTTCTGTTTTATTTGAACTAATCGTAATAAATCATGAGTTGTATGCATTATATTACACTGACAATATAAAACAAATACCTAAATCTCTGTGTCTATAATTTTTAAAATGTGGTCTGCTATTTGTGAACCTTCAAAATTAATAGATATAGTAACAAATTTTCCTTATTCAAATTTATTAAATGTTCTTTCAAGTTTTTTTTCCAGATACCCTGCATGTATATTTTAGGAGACATATGTACAGTACGACAGTATGTAAGAGCGGACAAAAAGAACATAAACTCGTGTTGGAACGGTACAACTCCTCTACTCACTGCTATCCGAGTACATAATGCAGAAATTGTTGAGGTACATGGTGAACAGTGTGTACATGCCTATTCACTAATAATGACAATTTACAGATGAATGAAAGATCGTCTTTCATTTTTTACATACAGGGTGTCCCACGAAACATGACAGTTGGTGAATAGTTTAGAATGCCTTCTTCCATAATTTGTTAAGTTGTTTGATACCAAAGACAAAAATAAAAATATAATATGGGAGTCATGTTATAGTAAAATTGATTTCAAAGTAAAATATATTTAAGCAGAAGATTTTTTTAACGAAATAAACTGCAAATAAAAAATTTAATATCTAATAAAGCATATAGAAGACGACATTCATAACTATTTATCAACTGTCATGTTTCGTGAGACCAGAGACACTCTGTTTAATGACCAAATGTGCATTGTGCATAACAAAAATTGCAGGTCTCTCATAATTAAAAAAAAACCAGATTATCTCCTCAGAGTCTTGGAACTCAAGCTTTAGCGTTGATACTTTATATAAAGACGATCTTTAAGTTGTCAATATATTGTTATGTTTACTGTTAAGTAGTAGGACACCATTTGTATATTAATTTCAACAAAACTTTTAGGAATTTAAAAATCCATTTTGATTTAGAAGAAACAATAAAAAACTGTGAGTGTGTATGTATTATCCTTGTAAGAATAAAGCTTTATTTTCATAAAAGGATAATCTTTATGTTTGTAGATATTTAAGCTATTTTAATATTGTTTCCAGGTTCTATTGGAGTATGGAGCTGACATTAACCAAAAATTATCTAGAAACGGTAAATTTTAGATTTTGAAGACTGTTATAATAATTGACTAACTTTTTGCATTCTATTTTTGAAATGTCTCAAGAACTTAGTTTTTGAACAGCGTTAAAAATTGATCCAGTAAGACGACATTCAATTCTTCTTTATGAACCTGAATATTCTTTTTAGTGTATTAAGGTGATTTTCGGTAGGTGAGGGACCGAGGGCCGGGCGTTTACAAACATATTAAAAAGAGGTCATTTTGATTTTTAAAGATATTTTCAGGTTTAAGCCTTGAGCCCCCGCTGGTTTTCTGTATTAGGATTGGTTCAGATTGTGTACTACAGAAACTAATTCAAAATAAACATATTGATCTTAATATCATATATAAAGATAAATCAGGTAATGAAATAATTTTATAAAATTTAATCAAATAACGATGTTAATCTTAACAATCATTTAGACGTAAGTACAAGAACACTTGCGTCTTTGTTGTTTCTTTTGCATAACCCTAAACAATCAAATCAATCAAAATAAATAAATATGAATAATATTTATATCTTAAAACACTTTACCCATGGCAATATTGTAAGTTTAAAGTGTCAATACTTTTGATTAGATATTGTTTTTAGCTTTAGAATATGGAGTGGAAGAAAATAAACCTTTAGCAGTCTCTAGGTTGATTAGTAAAGGTAACTACACTGTTCGGCGTTTATATCAATGATGACATGGGCGTATTCAGAAATTTGTCTAGGAGGAGCTCAATGTTTTTTTTCTATAAGGGGGGGGGGCTCAGCACCCGTTGGGGCCTGAAAACCCCCTTAAATCCATAAATAACACTGGTCCAGGGGGCGGCTGAGCCCCCATAGCCCCCCTGAATACGCCACAGAATAAAGACGACGTTTTTTCTGGCAATTTTTCTCAAGTTAATAAGTTTACAAGAAAAGAAAAAGAAGCTAGAGAAGCTGTTAATTGACCACTTCTTTTGTTTCCATGTTTATGTAGATCCATATTCCATGCTGTTTAAACATAAATGTATAGAGCACGTTAACATGGATATATTAGTTCAACATTATTAAATCTTTACTAACAACTATTGATAAATGTATATATCTAATAGAATATTTTTCTAGGTGTTTGTATACCTGGAGGTCTACTGAGCAGTGCTATAAAAAGATCTGGATATATTAATGGTCAGGAGATTGCATTTATTCTAATCAAAGCTGGAGCTAGGGTGCAGGTAATATTTAAAGCCTATAATTAAATGCAAACAGATGATAATTGCTTGACTTATTAGATAATCGTGTTTTTAATATGAGCACAATTTTATTTTTTAAATATTGAATTTTAAAAAAGTTGTAAAAAAATTGGAGCGACATGAATCTTCCCTGGGCTCATGCGAATTACAGCATATAAACGGGAACTGTTATCTTCATAGAGAATAGAATATATAGAGAGGAATTAACTAGAAAAAAGTGTAAAACGGCCATTTTGTTGTACTGTTTCCATACTGCAGGTGTACTTAACATATTTATGCTATATAACCTGTTGGGCCCTGGAATATCATTTTATAGAAAATCTAAAATTATTGTTAAAAGAAAACCAAATTATGAAATAGGCTGGTTTCATAATTGACCAATGATCATTTCACATAGACTCTATGCCTTCCACTTTACAAACGATGATTTTCCGTTATAACTATAAATCAAATGATGTTTTTTATTCACCTAATTCATTATAAAGTTTATTTAACAGTTTAAAAAATTCGAAATTGAAATGAATAGTCTAGGGAACATACTGTATTAATGTACTCTACTGCATATAATTTGTGAACATTTACATGATTTGTACACTTTGAACTCCCTTTCAGGCTGAAAGGGACTGAAAACATTCATACCGAGAGATTCTTTTAATTCCTCTCTATATATTTTATTCTCTATGGTTATCTTCAGGGTTATTCGATACGAATAAACAAACAAACAAACAAGAACACAAACTAAATATAAATTTAGATTATTTGGTTTGATTTGAATAATAATTCCATGAAGTTACGAATTTAGGAAATTGACAAAGAAGGTCGCACCGCTTTACACTGGGCTGTTTATGTTGGAAATATTGGTAAATATCATTTATTAATTCATTTAGTGTTTCATTCTTCCCTTCATCAGGACATGCTTTCATCTGGTTTTTTACTAATATTTTTTCTTTTCGTTATTAAATTTAGTAAAATAGTACAAACCAAATTGCAAATCTCAAAAAAAAACTTTTTTTGCAGATATAATGGTTTTACACGATTGTACTAGTAAATATATATTGTCTAAAGTAGTTGTTTTATCTAATAAGTGATAACAATATATTCAGCATATTGTTAGGGTATTTCTGATCACAATTATTTATCTTTTCATTTAGTAGATAATAGCTATAAGATAATCTTTACTTAAAATTAAGATCTTTAATTTTAAAATGCATAAAATTTAAATGAATTGCATTATTATGTCAGAGTTGGTGGATACATTATTGAGACAAGGTTCAAATCCACGAGATATAGGATACAGTATACTCAACAATACACTCCCCTGTATCAGGTATATATATATATTTCTATATTAATAGGATACAGCATATCCAACAATACACTCCCCCTGTATCAAGTATATATATATATATATTGATATCTACTGCAGTTTCCTTAGTTATTTTTTATTAAGTAAAGTTTTTGAAATTGTCAATTAATTTCTTGAAAATCCGTTAAAAAAATTTTGAAAATCCATAATATTTGTCGTAAAACATCAGTTAACCCATGTTTATTGACTGATGAGGATCGAGAGATCTGAAACAATTTGTATTAATAAATATGAAAACTGAGAAGCTGTTCTGATTATTGCTTTATAGTTATATTGATATCTATATAGGTTACAGTATAATCAACAATACATTCCCTTGTATCAGGTATATAGATATATATATATTTAAATAGGATAAATATATACATTATACTTAGCAATACACTCCCACGTATCAGGTATATATATAACATATATTTATATAGGTCCATTTTTGGTCCATTAAAAATTGTGTATGAGGATGTTTATCTGTTTTTTTAATTGAGTAATAAATTGATTATCCATATATATATATATAAATAAAGGATATGTAGGATACAATATAGTATACTGATAACATATTTTATAAAGAAAAGATACAATTAACCTAAATTAAATATATATTTAAGAAAACATACAATAAATCTTAATTAAATATATTTAGCGAAATAATGAAAATAATCTGAATTGAGCATATTTTATACAAAAGATACAATTAACCTAAACTAATAATACTTTATAGAAAAGATACAATGAATACAATTAACCTAAATCAAACATATTATAGAGAAAAAGATACAATTAACCTGAATTAAATATATTTTAGAGAAAAGATACAATTAACCTAAATTAAATATAGTTTAGAGAAAAGATACAATTAACCTAAATTAAATATATTTTAGAGAAAAGATACAATTAATCTGAATCAAATATATTTTAGAGAAAAGATACAATTAACCTAAATTAAATATATTTTAGAGAAAAGAACCTGAATTAACCTGAATTAAATATATTTTAGAGAAAAGATACAATTAACCTTAAGTAAATATATTTTAGAGAAAAGATACAATTAACCTAAATTAAATATATTTTAGAGAAAAGATACAACTAACCTAAATTAAATATATTTTAGAGAAAAGATACAATTAATCTGAATCAAATATATTTTAGAGAAAAGATACAATTAACCTAAATCAAATATATTATAGAAAAAAAGATACAATTAACCTGAGTTAAGTATATTTTAGAGAAAAGATACAATTAACCTAAATTAAATATATTTTAGAGAAAAGATACAATTAACCTAAATTAATATTTTAGAGAAAAGATACAATTAACCTAAATTAAATATATTTTAGAGAAAAGATACAATTAACCTAAATTAAATATATTTTAGAGAAAAGATAGTTGAAAGTCGGAGAACAGTTTTCCGTCTATCAGACTTGGCAAGGTAAATATCATTATAAAAACCTTAATTAAAATACAGAATTTAATCAATAAGTGACAGATTTGTTATTTTTAGTGTACATTAAGTATATACTATGTCAACATTACTTTACCAGTGAAAACCTATTTTTTATACTCAATACAAATAATTTTACTAAAGAAATACAGAAAAACATAAAGCTTGTAATTTTTCATCAATGAACTTGGAATGATCATTGGGCCTTAAAAGTGGCCTTTGATTGGGAGATCAAAACTTTTCCATAAAGCGTGGCATGCTGCGGTGTAGTTAGTTTTGAGTGGTAGTGGCTTTTTGCATCAGATGGCACCATGGGTTATTTTTGAATACTTTCTGTAATAATGAAATAATATAAAGCTGTGATGAGAGTAAAAGAAGTTAGCACAAAAGTATTTTTTTGATTATCCAGTTACTTTTAGTTTAATTTAAGCTTTTCTAGATAAAAGAAAAATATTCGCTGAACTTGACAGTTGTATGGGTTTCATTGTATATTTTTTTTATCATTAACCCTCATGTTTTTTTCAGGTTCCAAGTTGTAAATCTTCTGGGTTTTGACGGAACCTACTCTAATAATATCTCTAAATTAGATTATCCAACCAGTCTAATATCTCTAAATTAGATAATCCAACCAGTCAATATCTCAACATTAAATTATCCAACCAGTTTATATAAATCTAAAATAGAATATCCAACCAGTTTAATATCTCTAAATTAGATTATCTAACCAGTCATAATATCTCTAAACCTGATTATCTAACCAGTCTTATTATCTCTAAATTAGATAATCCAACCCCTCAATATCTCAACATTAAATTATCCAACCAGTCTAATATCTCTAAATTAAAATATCCAACCAGTTTATATATCTCTAAATTAGAATATCCATTATCCAACCAATCATAATATCTCTAAATTAGATTATCTAATTAGTCTAATATATCTACATTAGAATATCCAACCATTCTCTTATAAAATATTGGTATGATGATGTTACAAGCTAACTAAACACTGAACAGGAACACGAGAAAGAAAACTAATGAGAGCTAGCATCAATGTACCACTATTTTGTGTCAAATTGTTCAGCAGTGTATTTTTTTGTATTTTTTGTGTAATAAATCTCTGTTTCGTAGTTGTATTTTATTTCAGCCTACCAGTTTATAAATGTCCTGTATTTTTATTAAGACTGTTTTACTAATTCAACCATATTCAAAATCTACTCACATTCACACTGACATGTTGGGGAAGGGGNTGAATTATTTCTTATGAAAATGTATAACCTACATTTCCACACTATTAGGAGAAACTTTCACATTTTGTTTGTCCTATTGTACCAAAAGCATTACAAATTACATTTCATGTTGATATGAAATTTTGAGAGGTATTCCTCAACGCTGTTCCAAACTTCGAACAAAATAATCTTGGTATTTCTATTTTGATCAAAATATTTTTCATCAATCCCTGCTTGCATGCTTTGTATTTTAGAAAACCTTACTTTGCAAATTGTTAGTACTGTTTTAGCTTTTTCTCTTATATTAAATGTTAAGTATTGAAAAAAAAGTATAAAAAATGTAATCATTTGTACAAGTTTAAAATATAAATTTTCAAAAAGACATATATGTAGATATACGATGGAATTTTGTTCTACAAACACATACTCCTATTTGTTAACAGTAAGTACAAGGTGTCCCATGAAACATGACTGTTGGTGAATAATTTAAAATGTCTTCTTCCAAAGTTTGTTAAGCTGCTTAATACCAGATAATAACAAAATAATGAAATGGCAGTGAAATTGATTTTAAAGCAAATTATATTGGAGTACAAGATTTTTTTAATATCATATTAGAGTATATGGAAGAAGACATTCAAAGCTATTGACCAACTGTCATGTTTCGTGGGACACCCTATAGTATTATTTCTTTTAATAAAGACATATCGCTGAGTATTTTGCAGTTTAAGAAAATTTTGACTGACTGCTGTCAAGAAATGTGACATTTCGTATTTTAATCAAAATAAAGAATTCCACTGTTCTTGGTTACCATTTTATAGGAATGAAATTGAAGTTTAGTTATAATTTTTAAAAAATTCAAATGCCTTTTTATTAATTGTATAAATTTGAAAAACACTGCGGAAATAATTATTATTATTATAAAATTAATAAGATGAAACCACAAGAAAAAAATTTGTAAAGTTAGAGAAAAACTTTAAAAACAATTTGGAAAACTAGACAACTTTTGTTGAAAACGTCAAAGTAATTTGGAAAACTAGACAACTTTTGATGAAAACGTTAAAGTAATTTGGAAAAACTGTTATGTTTTAGTTTATTCTTTGAAATTACAAAAAAATTGATTTTTTATTCTCAAAACTATTGTTAATTTTCCATCGATTGCGTTCGTTTTCTCTAAATATATGTACGATATGTACGATCTATATAATAAAACAAAGCAAGCGGCTGAACCGAATGGGCTAAAATTGTTTGAGGACACTTATGGGTAGCCAGGGAAATGTTAAAGGCTAAAAAGTTAGAAATTTAAAAATAAAAAAATAAAAATTTCAAATATTTTTTTTCAACATATTACAATATTTTTCTCCACGGACAACCTCGGGCCCTTTAGCTAGTATGGAATATATAGGTGTTCATACTAAAAATTTGCAAATATGTGAATGTATGTATGTTACCTATGGAGGGCCAGAACGCATATTTCATATAACAACAAGCACCAATATTGTGATCTCATCAATCTGTGCTAGGAACTTATGTAAGATACCCATCGTCCTGATCGCTTGATCTCGATATTCACTGTGGGTACTATTAATTTGATGATCAATGCTTAATCTCTTCATTTACAATACAAGAGTTCCCATTTCTTTCTTGATAAAATGTTCCGGTTATTTAATCGACAACCTAACTTTTTTACGTATGTTTATTGAGTTAACAAGAGGTATAAACAATAACAAATAAACCGGTTTATACATATAAACAAGACAGATTTAATCATAACAATGGCAAACTAAGAGATACATATGATAAACAAATACAATTTCAAAAATCAAACAAACTTTAATGTTATTACACATATTCAAAAATTAAATTGACTGAAGATGAAAATTTCTAGTTGTTAGGCTTAAAATGTTTAAAATATCTTAGCTTAAAATGCCTTAATAAGCTGGATACATAGATAAATTTCCACACCGGACTAGGCTTGAAGCTTGAATTGTGGTTACTCTTGACTTAAAGGGGGTGGGGGGTCTTAATTCTTTAAAAATATACATTCTACAGGGTGTCCCAAAAAACATGGGAATTCAGTGACAAATTATATATCGTCTTTGTTATGAATTAGCATTGTGTTACCAAATTTTAAAAGCCATAATATTATTATGTCTGCTAGAGTTTATTTTATGAAAAGGGTAAAAGACTGTAAAGATGTGTCTATATAATGTCTACGCAAGATGAACAGTGAATACGGACAAGTTTACTCTGTTTGTATACTGCAATTTTCTTGTTTTACTAAGTACAACCGTATGCAGTCAAAACATAAACAAACAAAATGTGAACATAGCAGACGAAACTCTTACAGATTACAGCTTTCTCTGTAGGTATCACTATACTAAATCAAAGAATTAGTTAAAAAGACGATATCGAATTCGTCACTGAATTCCCGTGTTTTTTGGGACACCCTGTATATTTTGCGCAGGTTATTTTTACAAATTGTTGGATGAATATATCGAAAGGGAAATGCAAGATTTAAAATTATTTACCAGAATACCAGAATTAGTGACTAGCGATAAATTGTTGAACCGCGTAAATGTGGTATTAACCCCGTAGCGCTTTAGCTTGATGAGAAGTGGTTGAACTACGTGTACGCGGTTAAGCTTCTTTTCGCAATTCATAAATCCTGGTTCCTGGCCACAGAAGCCTAGTATCGGCTAAATATATATTAAAGCGTAGTAGTTTGTTTAGTGTTACGTTCTGAATGAATAATAAAACAATATCTTTGGAATTATTTAATACTTACAATCTTTAACTGACACAGACAACACAGAGAGATAGTTATAGTTGTTTCTTTTTTGTAACTTTTGATGCTTTAAAACCTCTTGGATGTGAAACATCATGTACCAAGCCATTTTAGGAATGACTTAAGTTCTTTTTAATAATATTTCTTAGCAAAATTATAATTTTTGAGAAAAGTATGAACATTTGACCCCCTCAGCGAATAATTAGTTAAATTCAATTGAGTAAAATATAATAAAATTTATAAAACTGATGTAAATACAAGATCCCTGGTCCTATCTGTGTTATCTATGGATCAAGGGCACCACAATATGTTTCTGTTAAATTGTTGATTGTGGACCCCTGAAACTAAATTCTAATAAAATGTGACTCCTTTCTGTTTCTGTTTTTTGCAAGGCCCCGGGTGGGAAGAAAGATGGCTGGGATAATCCTATAAAATATGTAAATTTATTGTAAAAACCGTGTTTATCGTGATCTAAAAATGGATTAACTTTTATGTTACTTACAGGGTTACTCAAAAAAAATGAGATTTCAGAGACTTACTTTATGCTGTATGTTTCCTTATATTCCCGGTTCTCTACAAATATGAACTTGTGACTTTAGTTTTCATAACATTAAATAGAGCATCAAAACTCAAGACTATATTCAATTTAAAATTGGGTTTTCACATTATCTGGGTTTCAGGTCGTCTATATAAATTATCCTTTGTGGGTACCCTGTATATATATGTGAAGTTTCCTCTATTTCTTCTTATTCTTCTCTTGTAGTCAATATCTTCTCCTTCCTTCTTTTTTTACCTGATCTCCTAGTTTCTTTCTTCTCCTTCTTCTTATTTTACCTGATCTCCTAGTTTCTTTCTTCTACTTCGTTTTTTTTACCTGATACTTTCTTTTCTGTTCCTTTCTTCTTCTCTTTCTTATTTTACATGATCTCCTAGTTCCTGTCTTCTCCTTTTTCTTATTTTACCTGATCTATAAGTCCTAGTTCCTTTCTTCTCTCAATTACCTGATCTCCGAGTTACTTTCTTCTACCCCTTCTCATTTTACTTGATCTCCTAGCTCCTTTCTTCTACTCCTTCTCATTTTACCTGATCTCCTAGTTCCTTTCTACTACTCCTTCTTATTTTACCTGATCTCCAAATTACTTTCTTCTCCTTCTTCTTATCTTACCTGATCTCCTGGATCCTTTCTTCTAACCCTTCTCATTTTACCTGATCTCCTAGCTCCTTTCTTTTACCCCTTCTTATTTTACCTGATCTCCTAGTTCCTTTCTTCTACTCCTTCTCATTTTATCCATTCTCTCCAATCTTCCAATCCTCTCTAGATTCAACCCAGACTAAAAGAGATTACAAATTAGTCAAAATATGTCTATGGATTCGAATAAAATATTCAGTATAGCAAATTGAAAAAATAAAAACAAAAAAAATTCCTACAAAGTATCTACTAACAATTAATAAGTAATTTTTGAATTACTAATTTTATAAGTTATACGTACTTCAGGCGATGAGGAAGGTCGAAGTAGAGATGGTTCCGTTTCTTCTTTAACATTTATATCTCTAGTTAACTTCTTGGATCTAGATCTATCAAGGCACTTATCCTCCTCTAAACATTTATATCTCTGATTAACAATATATCTTTAAAGTTTAGAAGAACTGGAACAGACCTTCCAAATTTTATATTGTGGAATGGAAATCATGCAAAGTTCAGCACAGCAATAGAGAATTTATTGACAAAACTGAATCAGACGTGATTAAAATGAAGAACCTGGAGAATGAAATAATTTTTCACGTGAGTGTGGGGGAAGAATTTATATATATCTATTAAACTTCTCATTTATATGTCATTTTTATAAAATGACATATAAAAATTCGATTTGGTTCTAAGCTGGAAACTTTAGAATTCACAAAACTAATTTATCCCAGTGTTTTTTTATATATCAATGTAAAAGATCAATAATTTAGACGAGGTTTCGTTTATGAGGCAGGATGTATAGAATGTTTAGAGGTTCTTTAACAAAATTCTTTACTATAACTCATTAGGAAAATTGCTACCCTGATATGTTTATCTAAATTGAGACTCTTGTACTTTGTGCTTTGAGGGAAAATTGTACAAATTTATTTAAACTATTTTGGTTCACAAAAAAAAAACATAAATGTCATGCCCCAAAAAAATAGAGCTTTCCTTTAGAAACTTTTTAGAGGGTCTGTGGTAACAGTGCGCAAGTATACAAACGTCAGACCCACATACATCGGACGGTACAAACCTAAGACTTACAAACCTCGGGCAGTACAAACGTCGGACCAGTACAAACGTCGGACCCACATACATCGGACGGTACAAACCTAAGACTTACAAACCTCGGACAGTACAAACGTCGGACCAGTACAAACGTCGGACTGGTACCAACGTCGGACTGGTACAAACGTCGAACTGGCACAAACGTCAGACTGGTACAAACGTCTGACTGGTACAAACGTCGGACAATACCAACGTGGGAACAGTACAATTATGTCAAACAAGTACAAACGTCAAACTAAGGAAACAAATTTTAATTGAATTTTAAGATTTTTGTTTATTAAAATGGTATTTCCTTTTATCGAATGGCCTAATTAAAATTTACAAAAAGGAACTATAAGTTCTTGCCACTAACTCAAATATTCTCATTCCTATATCTTTGCAGCCTGATGTTATTAACCTTTGATACTTTTAACCTTAAACTGTTTGATCTTATATATTTCGTAGGTTGAAATATTAAAGATTATAGACATCGGGTTGCAATAATATAGGCATTAAAACATCAGAGTTTGTGACAAATACTCAACTTTATTTTTGGTTTGTTGTTTATACAGTGCTATCTTCAAAGAACCTTGCTAACAAGTTGAAAAAACCTTGATAAGAAACTTTTTATTTCTGATTCCTTGTAATGTCTAGGGTTTGGTTGGTTGAGTTCTGATAATGCATGAATGTTCCAATATCATGGCTGTATCGGAGTCAACTAGTAAGGGGAGTAAGGGAGAACTAATTTAAATCATAATAATAATATCTTTTAATGTAAATTTATGGATTCTGAGAAGAATTTAGAAAAAAATATCGTATCCAATTATTGCAGCTAACTAGTAACTGAGAACTCATTTACTACATTTCAATACCAAGTTATTGCATGAATTATATCAAATTGATGGTTATTAAAAAAAACTTTATTCAGTTATCTTGATTTTTATCACAAAAAGTGAGTGATTTTATTTATTTCTCAAACAATGGTATTTTTTTTCAAACTCAACCAAAGTCTGACGTTTTTCCCTATAATGTACCCGTCCGACGTTTGTCCCGGTCCGACGTTTGTTCCAGTCCGACGTTTGTACCAGTCCGACGTTTGTAAGTCCGACGTTTGTGCCAGTCCTAAGTTTGTACCAGTCCGACGTTTTTAAGTCCGACGTTTAAACTGTCATGAATTTGATTTAATTAAAATTACATCATTCTTTTACGTGTACTTACTTTCCTCCTTCTCCCCACCCCCGTCCCCCTATTCATCGTCATCATCATCGTTATCCCCCTTCTTTCCGGGCTCCTTCGTAGAGTCCTGGGTCGTGTAGGAGGGCTTCAACAACATTGTCACCAGGTTGTCTCCTGTATACATATAAATAAATAGATGGATTAAACTAAAGATTGAAAGAAAGATAGATGAAAATATACATATTTTGATAAATAAGAAAAAAAAACTTCGAGTATACTTACTATTTATTTATTATTTTTAAAAAAAAACTCATGATATTTTTTTAAAGAAAATTATCTAAATTTTATTGAGACTTTTATATACAAATATTATAAACAAATATATTAGAAATAAATTAAGAAAGGAGGCAGGATAGCAAAGATATAAATTGTTTATATTAATTGAATCGTCTGGGAATATTCTTTCTGACCATACAAAATATTTCCGCATACATGATTAGCTCAGTTTTTATAGATTCACAACCAGTATTAAATATTCAGCTAGCCTTCTGTAATAAAGAATGTACATTAAGCAATCCTAACGGCCCGGGTATATATTGTGTATCTTTACTCTGCTGCGTTATTGTTTTAAAAATGTTGTGGCAAACCCAAGAAATTTGGAATTAAACTAATAAGTTCTAATTTCCTCTCTTTGATGTTATTTACTCAAAATTCAAAAAGATTCTTGAAGGGGAATAGTTATTACCCCTAAATATATTTGTCAACCATTAACAATAGGTCTCCGTGTAAAGTCGTCTTTAACTTGGGTCCCCCTCTCGGAGACACCAAACCAAACTATTTTAACCCCCTTTTCTTTGTTCTCCCTGACGGAGTCGTAAACAACCTCGCGTATTGTGAATCCATTTTCAAAAGTTAAACAAAGAATATTTATTTTCATATAATAAATTAGTGACTTTCGTTAATAATTAATTGTCATTTTATTTCCGAAGTTTATAACGGCTTTATATATATCCTTAAACGACTGATTCCAGTGGGCTTATTATTATTTCATCTTGAGAATCTTGGTTTCTATCCGTCAACAACATTTTATAATAAATGATTATGCAAGGGGCGTAGAGGGTGTAGATATTTAGTATTCATATCATGTTTCAACATTCAAATATAAATGATTTTTCCTCTCATTCCTGCATGGTCCTAATGATTTAAGTTATACTTCTGAATTATTAGAAAGAAACAGAAAGAGAAAAATTTTAATTAAAAGTTTAATCAATCGCTGAAATTAAATTTTAAAACGAAATCAATTAATTACAAACTGCAGAAACTCTCTGTAATTTTAAGATTAAAAATGCCTAAACCAGAAATAAATGTTACCTCCGGTTTCCTCTGGGTCCTCAGCACACTGATTCTTGTCTGTATATCTGCAGAAATAATTTAATTATAAAAAAATATTTTATGTCTTAAAAAAAAGATTATATTTCTCTTCAAAATGACGGTGTCGGTATCTTCAAATATAAAAAGTAATAATCTCTGTTTTTCTGTCTGTCCACGTGAATATTCTTAGCCTGGTTTTAAGATTCTATGTTAAGTGGATTAACCTGGGGAAAACCTCAGAAAAAGATGGGTTAGCAAGCTGGTTTATCTATATTAAGTACTATTTATACTCGGTCTGATTGTTTGTATGTTTAATAATCTCTCTTAAAATGTTGATTGGCAAGCTAGGTAGAACCAAGGGAAAGTTCTTAGCCATGGTCTAAAAATTCCAAGTTGAGTGGGTTGACTTTATAGAGAAACTTTAGTTTCCACACCAGGCTGGGTTCCAAAGCAAGTCTGTATAACGCAAATGTAAAAATACAAAATCTGTATGATTTTATCAAATTTTTTTTATTAAGTTTTAATGTGGTATCTGACTGAAAGCGCTGTCAAGAAGTCCATGAAGAACGGTCAGTTTAATGTGATACCTGACAGAAAGTGCTGTCAAGAAGTCCATGAAGAACGGTCTGTTTAATGTGATACCTGACAGCAGTGTTTCGGATCCATATCATTTTGATTTGGATCCGGATCCGGATCCGGATCCGCGGATCCGCATCCGTGTTCATGGATCCGGATCCGAGGTAACTTTTGATTCTGTGAATCGGATTTTCCCTATTAAATGTTATGCAAGGTTATAATTTATAAACTATATTTATTATTTTAAAAATGTCGTCATTAATTTACTATTATATAAATGTAAACATTAAATTATTAAAGATAATTTTGAAAAATTTTCGTCATGTAAAATGTAAATAATACATTTACGAACCATTTTGATTTATTTATTCCATGGTTTTGGTTAATTTTTGACGCTACCCGGATCCATATCAACGTTTCCTGATACGGATCCGGATCCGAAACACTGCCTGACAGAAAGCGCTGTCAAAAAGTCCATGAAGAACGGTCTGTTTAATGTGGTACCTGACAGAAAGTGCTGTCAAGAAGTCCATGAAGAACGGTCTGTTTTATGTGATACCTGACAGAAAGCGCTGTCAAGAAGTCCATGAAGAACGGTCTGTTTAATGTGATACCTGACAGAAAGCGCTGTCAAGAAGTCTATGAAGAACGGTCTGTTTAATGTGGTACCTGACAGAAAGCGCTGTCAAGAAGTTCATGAAAAACAGTCTGTTTAATGTGATACCTGACAGAAAGCGCTGTCAAGAAGTCCATGAAGAACGGTCTGTTCAAATTTTTACTGAGCTGATACAAAACAAACCTGAAATATAAAATGTTCTAAATTCTCTTTAAATGAGTCCTTCCTATACTGATTCTTCTGAACCCCAGCCTTTTCTTTTTGAAAAAGGACAACCTTTCGTGCTTATACTTATAGATATTTGGTTAGGTGAAGATAGATCAGGAGTGGTTGTCCTTTTTCTTACGGAAATGAGGGGGGAGGTTCAAACTACAGCACATGTAATAATAAAGGCTTAATATTTATATTTCATTACATATTATAATATTAATAAGGATTCCCTTTTGAGTCCATTCACATCATACATTTTTTTCGGGGATTTTAAATCTAAAATAAAAAGTTATCTCAGAAAGTAAAATAGATTAATCACACTACTCCGCTTTATTTTAAGTTCCCTGAGCTGGGAACTTATAAATAGACTGAATGATTGAAATATCAACCAGTTTATCAATATTCAAAACTTTTCCAAGTTGAATGATAAATGAGAGAACGCGTTGAACTAAGTCGGTCTGTTAAAAAGTTGCAGATCTTGCTGCGACATCAAAAAATATTGAGAACTTTGAAAAATTTAAAATTTGTAATAAATCTACACACTTGATATGTGTACACTGTCCGTTCTTGTATAAATATGAAAATATTCCTATTGCATTGAATTTTATTTGCTTAAATTTACAAGATACACATCAGTTGGATTTCAACTGGAAAAATACAAAATAATTTTCTGCATTTGAAAAATAATTTTTCTTTTTTAAAATATTTACAATATTCGCAGAACTTCATTTTTGTTAACTTCAAAAGGTTTAAGAAGTCTTTATCTAAAAAGAATTGAAAATAAAGTAAATTTCTAAATATAAATTCTATTTTGTGATAGCTCCATAATCAGACAATAGACGTACATATTTAATTTCTATTATAATATAATTAGCATTATAATTAGAATTTTTTATAATGTATTTTTAAACTCTGAAACCCAAATTTAGACCTTGAATTAAATAAAGTAATCAAAAATATTTTAAAAAACAACTCACCAGTCTCCCAGTTTGCACGAGCAGACGAACTCCTCAATTTTGCGAATTTTGGAGGATTTCTTGAAATATCGGTTCATTCGCATATTGATCAGCTGATACCGGATGAAAGCAGACCTAGTAGATGTATAATAAAATGGACTGTTTTAGCATACTCGAATTTTAAATTAAAAAGACCCATAATTCGCTCAGCATAGAAATTAAAGTTACTTTAAATAAATTACAAATCTGAATTAACAATAATATTGACACATGTAACCACAAAGAAATGAGACTCTTCAAAAACGAATTTAAATATTCTATTTAGATTTGCTGTTAAAAATTCATTTAGAATTCTGAAGACTGATTATTGTTAAAGTCTGTTTGTTTGTTGGTAATCCAGAATCACGCACATATGTACCAGACCTTTAAAATCCGGTTCCTCTAGGATAAAAACTCAAAAATATATTTGTTGACTTTAAAGTCATATTAGTAAAATAAAAGAGATCAATAAGGATATTTCTTAACATTTATTTAAAAAACGAAAGTTTTGGAATATTTGCCCCAGGCAGGGTTGGAAATTGGTTGGTTAGAAATTAACAAAGGAAACTATTAACGAATATCTGTGGTTACATCATGGGAGCTTTGTAGAGCTTTATGTTGGTGGTGCAGATCAACTGTAGCTGGAACAACAGGTATCCCAACCTCACTCCAGGCCTTATATAAGGAGCCAGGGTTGCGCCCTGAGACGGAGTTGTGAACATCTCAGGTGTTCCAAATCAAACTGACTGAGGACCGGGAGGTGTAGAGAGGGTGGGGGGGACGGAAGGGCGTGGGTTACATGCTATCCACTGCAAACAACGTAAAAGGATTTACACATCTTGGAATAAACAGCGGTATACAAACTACACAGAATCCTCTTAATTATATTTCGAATTTGTGGTAACAATATTTCTTCTTGGCACTTTGATTCCTTCATAACGTATTATTTTATATAATAAGTGTGCATTGTTGGTGTTACGCGAGCCATGCTGCGTGAAGAAAGTCTGTTTGTCGCCCCTGCGTATTTCTGAGTTTCTCCTGAAGATCTGTACG